ATGTCGGCATGTTTGGTCTTGTTGATCCCGACACGTTGTTGCATTAACTTACGTGTTTCCCCTTTTCATCATCAGCTTCCACCTGGTTTCTTGCGAAATACTTTTTCGTTCGAAACATTGCCCGCGGTGTTAGTAATTATTTTGCAAATCAAATTTGTGCCTTACTATGCAATCTCTTTCATCAATCCCCGTGTCCTTTTCCAATCGGAGCCCGGTAATGTAATTATATCTCACTCTGTTGGCCGTCTTCACTGCTTCGAGTTTGCCCTTCCAACAGTTACCTCCAATCCTTTTACAATCTCGACCTGCTCGATTCTTCCATGTTTAGCACGACTGACCCGTGGTAGCGAACAGCGTTCCCGTTGCGTTATATGTATTCTGTCTTCGATCTGTTTTTATCTTCTTTTTATTTGGATAAAAGGGAATGATCCAGATTTTCCGTTTCTACACTGCTGGAATTACGAAAAATAACTTGAGAATACAACGTGTTTTGAAGTGTCCAGATTATAATTTAAGCATATTGCTACCTAAGCAAGTTCGGATTAGCGGCTTACAGTAATATATAATATATAATAATATAATATAAATCAAATTGGGCTGTACATCGTGATTTTATTTGTTTTAAAAATACAACACTTTAGCTTTTCCCATTGTTCAATATCCTCTGTAATGGTTGTACAAGCTGGACTGATTATCCTCTAGACATTTTTTTACAGTATTCGCCAACTTTATCTTCTCTTCTGTCAATTTCCATTAAGTCGGTTCTCCTCCTCTACATGCATTTGTGAATTCTATTCAACCTAGTCTGTTACTGCGATTATGCAGGAGTGAATGATATATCGCTATTCTACCATTCATTTCAGCAGATAATCCACCTTCTGTTTACATAACTACATGATTCCTGTCATTAGGAATAATGCTTTGCCAAATTTCTAAACTATTAAAAAGAAACAAAACTCTTACTTCATGAAACACGTTGTATGGAGACTTCCGATTGTATTCATTTAACGGAACTAGTCGTAATTTGTACGCAGTGCATTACCTCTTCTGAGGCATTACGTATCGATCAAGAATAACGTTTGTATTTATTTGAAATTCGTAAAATACAATGTAGGGTAGAAACAGGCAGCGAGTAAAAGACGTGAATCCGAGTGATTTTCGAATGGAATTGGATTTTAGAATCATAAAATGAAACAAATTGCCGATCACTAGAAATTATGGGTTACGCTCACTCCTAACGTTCCTCTAACACGCAATAAGTCATTCCAAGCTGTTTCGTGCAACATTCTCCGTTTTTGATTTTAATTGTCGCTACATCACTTGTGCGTTCTTAGTCTTCACCCCCCCCTCATCCTTTTATATTTTACCCGCCCACTCGCATAAAAAAGACAAAATTCCAATCAAATGTAGATCTAGTCGTTCCATCGTGTTTGTGATGTGTTTTGATTCAGCCTTCCATCTGTACACCATCGGATCCAAGTTTTTCCGATCTGTTACACTGAATATTGCCGAGTCATCTCCCCAAAGCGCATTTGTTTACTTTTTCTTCATTCAAAACGTGCACCGGCGAATTCATGCGAATCCCGTGTGAAATGCAATTGTCTCTCTTCTCATTTTGTTTGCTATCGCGATGGTTGCTTGTTGTCGGCATATCTAAGACTCCCCTTAACAGTTTCCACAAGCTGTTCCTGACGGGCACTTTCATGTTGGTACCATTTGAATTCAACTCAGGCCTCCTTCTGTGTGTGTGCCAATTTGGACGCCGTGACTTAGCGAACCGGATTTCCCTGTACTAGGAGATGTTGTACAAATGGTGGTGAATTCGGGTCCATTGCAATTGCAACGTTTGTAGTTGCCCAGGCAACTACGATCGGTATTTGGGGCCTATCAGTCTGTGAGGTACTGAAATTGGCGAATAAAAAAACCTGCGAGTGTCGGAGACTAGACGTCCTTATATATTTATGAACGAGCAGAATGGTTAACGCTGTTTCGTAATCCATGTTAGGTTTATTCTCGTGCTCGAGGTTAACCTATTTGGGCTCCGTTGTTAGCAGCATTGCTAAGATGAAGTCAACTTTATGATGAAATCGCAATCGAGCACCAAAGGATAATATTAAAATCATGGCTTTCTACATATATCCGGGGGAGTCTTCAGTTGAATTCCCTTAACTTGCGGTGCTCACCACAATTATCTGTTCTCGTTTGTTGTACTTTGAAGATAAGTACTAATCACACAGTAATGTGCTTGTCTAGAGCGTGAACTATTAGTACCCAGTGGCGACACTGCTCTTAGTGCATATTTTATTTACGCAGCTTAATAATACGTCATTACACGTGTTCCATTGTACACACAAACATCGGTGGAATCGTTTTCTGTAACCTACAAGCAAATTATCCATTACCATATGTCCGATCTGAACTTCCGTAACTTGGCCAGTGTTTAGCTTATAATGAGTTAAAACACTGGGTCCCCCAATAAGTCGGAGTTGAGCAGCTGGGAATGTGCGGTTGAGAGCTGACTTCAACTTTTGGCGCACGTCGTTCAAAAGATGATCACCTTTAAAAGACAGTTTGATGTAAACGGCTTTCTGGGGAACAGCTGGCGATGGGTTACCTTTTTGAGATTGTTTAATGTGAATATCAATTAATCTTTCGGGGTAACCGTTTCGTAGCAACGTTTTCTTCAGAAATTCTTCTTCTCGTAGTGTGTCTGGGGAACAAATTCTTCTGGCGCGATGGAACAGAGTTTTTACGAGTCCACGTTTGTAAGCCATGGGTGATAAGCTAGAGAACTGTAGATACTGACTACTCTATGTTGTTTTTCTGTGGATAGAACGCTGTAATGTACCATGTAAGCGCCTCGTAATTCTTATATCCAAAAATGTTAGTGAATCATTGCTTTCTTCGTAGGATACGGAAAGATGTGGATGAACAGAGTTAAATTATCTCAAGGGATTCAAGATGTTCACGCTCCCTAAGAATAAAAATATCGTCCACATAACGTCTGTACAAGATGGATTGGGAAATATTATTGGCAAGAGTTTGTTCAATCATTCCTAACAATACATCGGCTAGAATTGGGCCTAATGGACTGCACATGGCCACACCAATCTGTTTATGTGACAACCAAGCGCATAATTGATCCCGCTTTCTCTTTCGAACCGTTGTTATGTAACTGAAATGCAAAACTGTTGGCAATAAGTGAGGCGTTGCTGTTCCGATTTCATAATCCCGTTCTGTGCGCCCAAAAATTGTTGATCCGATTAGGTCACTTGCTGTGGAGTTGACCTATATTTTTAATTCTAATAGTCCCTGTCTGACTGTGCATGTCCATTTTCTGTTCGACTCCACTTTCAACTTTCCTTAATTCTATTCCTCATCCAAAATGGGCAGCCAAAAGGCAGCAACCAAAACCAGCGCACGAATATGCGTGGTTAATGGTTGTACAAACTGAAACTGTTCACTAGGATTTACAAATCTAATGTGCTATAAATGTGCTTGTTTCTTTTACGTCAGCGATTGAGGAGATTAAACGAAATGTTAACATCTCGCGACATATGTCTTCTTTCGGCTTTGATATAACGAGTTACCCATTCTCTATCTCTTGTCCTACTGTTGGTCATCCACTAGCGTCTCGTAGTCGGGTTTTTTAGAATCTCCAAGTTTGAAAATCTCGCTGTGTTCCATGCTAGCACTGGTATAGCTGTTACCTATTCACTCTTCACTGTCTCTGCCCAACACAAATATCACGTGTGAAAACTATCCAACATGTCATTTTTGTTTATCCGTATTGCATAACTAAATCACACTTTACATTTGAAACATGAATTTTCACGCACCACTATTGACTTCTCCTAGATGTGTGTCTTGAGTTCCAATCGAATTCCACTCCCAGTGATCTAATTCCAGCTGATATGCAATCTCAGTCTCTTGGATTCGCTCTTTGTACGCGCGTTGGATTTTATTCATTCACTTCGTCTTACGCTTTTCTAGATCACGCTGGTATCGTGAATAAAAAGGCAATGTTTGACCCTTTGTTGCTGTTTTTGGTCAACAAGTTGTTCGGAAAACGATTGCGAACGTGACCCCGTTCGGGCCAGCACAAGAGCACGGTTAATTCATTGAGAATGCGCATCTAATTTGTAGTAGTACATCTTCACAACCTGATTCCGCGGTATCTTCCAGCCTCGATCCAAAGAGGGCACCGTACGTAGTTGAGGATAGACACCAACGTGTAGCTACTTAGATTTGCGTGGAACAAAAGTCATTAGGACATCGCCAGCTGATATTTGTTGATGTTGATGGATGTGGACCACGACGTGTATCGTTCTCTCGATAACATCTGCTTCCACATTAGCCTGCTACACTGTTCCCATTTTTGGCCTCGCGCGTCCTGCCGTGATGCTAACTTTCTCACGTATTGTTATGCAAACGGGTGTCACAGTTGGTGAAGAGTGCGCCAAATTTTCCGCGTGTTGTCCAGACGTATTTGTCGGAATAGGAAATCGCACACGAGCTTAAGCTGTCATTTACTATGAGGATAATACCCCGTTGGAAGAAAAACTGTAGACCTACTGTTATGAACAGCTAAGAACTTGTTTTCGATGTATCTTGCTGAAAATGGTGAGTAAATATCCTCTATTTGCTTGTTTTTTTGTATGTGAAATCAGTCGTCCAACGTCTTTTTGGCTTAAAAAGCGCCACAATAGTGCATGTTTCACTGATTCGCGTGTTAGATTTTTCATCGTAATTGGAAATCAGATTTTTTCACAGCAATTAACTCAATGCAGTTCACTCTCGATTTTAGGTACCGTGAGCCGATAAATGAATGATTTGGGTACTAGTTACACGTGGATTGATAATCACAACACGTTTAATGTCAGGAAAAGGGAGTAATGTTGTTATCGGATAAATTTTGACAGCGCCACCGTCCAATTAGTATGAGGAAAAATGGGCTAAATATGATCGTTTCAGTTTCATTTTATACAGCACTGTAAGCAATGCGCTCCCGTATATCAGTCGTAAATGAAAGAGTATGTTCGGACATAGATTTATAACATATGGGAATATTTAAGTTTGAAATGAATGCTGATGCCGGAGCACCATTGTTCTTAACAGACCACATCATCTAGTACCTTCAATTCTTAACTATTCTGACCCGAATAACCTCTTCACGAATCTCGAGTCAGTCACACCAGGCTTAGGTCTTGCGAATATACTGTTCAAGTTAGGAACTTTCTTCCCTGTTGAAGGTCCTGGGAAGGATATATTGCTCTGATCTTCCTCATTCACACCTCACCTGTACCCGTCAGCATCTTAATGAATTACAACTGTTTCGAGAGAGAGACGGTGGCAGATTGAACTAATGCTAAGGTGATTTAAAATGATACTGAGTCAAACTGAAACGGTACTCGGACATGTTGATTTATTAATTGGAAAAATTGCATTGCAAAATGTATAGATGTGCATAGAAGGTGAACAAATGTACGAGCGCCACTTGACCATATCCCCTAGTGAACCGATGTGACCAAGTTTCCTTGGTGAGGGATTGGCCTTCATATCAGGTCATCCTTGGATTGCTGTTAACCTCTTTTGAAATGCTTCTTGCCTCAGTAAAAATTGCACATCGACGAAGTCAATTAAGTGGTGATCGTAGCGCATACCCGATCTATCACAATATAAATACCAAACACCTGCTTTAATCTTGTACCGCAATTACTGCTTCGCATAGCCAGTGAACTAAGAAAAACAACATACAAGTATTTCTATTTATCCAAATCAAAACAAGTGTGTATTTATGATAAAGTAGGTTAGTCGCGACCAGTCAACATCCGCCAATCGTTGAATGATAAATTGGGACAATAATGGCCAGATCCAAAAACACAGATCACACAATTATGTCTCTCTGTACTACTCAACCTACACCAACTAAGAAGCATAACGAAAGGCGTCGGTTTATCGAGCCATTCGCGATTAAGTGCAACTGACGGAAATTTCGGGACCGGTGCCTATTTTATGATGTTCGAACCCAACTTGATTGCTACAGCAATTTGCAACTCACTGCTAAGATCTATTTTTTTCAATTCGGGAAACAATTTGAAAATCCGTTTTCCTTTATAGACTCTCTCAAATGTGTATGGTCCCTCTGGTGATCCTGGAACAATGGACACCATTTTCTCAACCCCTGGACAAACATTTTCTGGTGAATCTTACACCTATTCGGGCAGCGAACGTCGCACGTGTCCTCCGGGTGTGGACTACGGACGACACTATCCAATCTCTTACTTGCAGTTAGCCGAACAAGGTTTTACTGCAATTATGAGCAGTGATCAATTCGCTCCCAGTTCAGCCACTGAAAAAGCTCGTCTGCGGAGTCGGTCTTTGGCGCGTCCAGGTTATTCGTCCTCTGCCTTCCACAGTCAACGTCAATCCCGTCGTGATACTGCCCCAGCAGCATCGGTTACACGTCCGCCCGGAGCTTCGTTAGATCGCCAGCCGCCCGATGCGACCGATGCGGATCACACCAGAGCTAACACAATTGCAACAACCCCTTTGAATTTGACTGATTTGATTCCTCCGGTTTGTGTTCAAAACCGACCACGACGAGATATCTACGTACGGAGACGAGAGCTCTCACCTGGTTCAGCCTCCCTCGGTTCCGGAGTTGTCGGTTTTCACGCCAAACCGGCCCAAACTGGTCCGTCCACACTTCCCGCAGGTTAGTTTTCTGTTCCACTCGTTGTTATCAACCGAAAAAACTTTTTGGCTTTCATTGAATACAAAATCAGAACAAATTTGAATCCCTAACTCTGATCAACCGCGGCGTGAGTAGGTTAGCACAGTAGTGACACGTGCAAAACGTCCGGAGCTCAAATCCCCGGCTGTGACGGTGAGTGTGCAGTGTGGATAAACTCGAGCAACAGTGTTGTACCTCGAGTCCAGTGCATCCGGAGTCTATGGTTGACTAAATGAGGTGAGCATTGTGTGTGTGGTCTGGAGGATGACCAGTCAAAACAATGTCAGTTTAATTGAGATCTGCTTTGTTCCAGATCACCATTCGCCTATAGTGAATATAAAAGATGCAAAAACAACCATATAGTTCCGAAGGAGCAGTGCTTCTATTACGAGTCGGGGCGATATACGAAATATCGTTGTTATCGTTATTCGGTGATCTGTCATAGAGCAGGATATTGCGAATTTTATAACTCACCCTTCCTGAAATCATTATTTCAACGAGAAGTATTCGGATTGAAGTTTTTCTCATTCGGCAAACTCTTCTCCAAATCCGTTAGTTTTCATTTTTAGCTGGAAATCAACTCGCAGATATTTCATCACCAGCTGGGTTACTAATCTCTTATGGTCTCTTGTTTCCGAATCAAGTACAAGTTTGGAAAAAAGCGTAATTCTTTACAGTTAGTCAGATCCGCACCCTGTATGTGTAGTGGTTTCAACCACAGCTAATATGAATCTCGCGGACGAGCAATTGGACGGTTTTCATGTTTCGGATCACACAACTAGATCATTCGAGTTCACTCTCTTTGGATAGTTTTTCTCTGAGTTCAGTTCTATTTTTTCGTTCGTTCAGGCCATTTCGGCATGTGTCTATGTTCTCATACGAATCCTTTGCCCGACATAATCTAAATCAAAGGTTAACTGACGTGTAAATGGTGTTCAACAGTGTCTTAGTTCACCAATTGGTGGATAGGCATCGGAAGGACGATAAACTCATGATTCAGTCACTTGAATCTTTTGCACCGGTTTTTACTTGATCCAAACCACTGCACCATGAACTGAAATTATTTTTTTCATCGTTATGATGCTGTCTGACTTATTTGTAACTCTGGACTCATTTGTTGTTGTTGTTGTTCTCGGGTTCAGTAATTCGCCTACTTGTTTGATTGAGAATTGTGGTCAGTATTCATTAAACGTCCGTGCGACTATGTTATCGATCGGTTGATAATGTCCAACAGACGAATGAAATTTGTTCAAGGTTAACTAATTGGTGCAGGAACTAAGATGTATAGCCAACGTGATCCTTTTGAATAACACATTTACACGTTTACCCTAGGGGATCACCTAATTGTCCTTTGGTAACCTCTACCGCACTGCATCTCGAACGTTAGATAACCGCGGCCAAAATGTTCCTCAACAGCCCAAGTACGATAGATTACGATCGCTGAGGAATGTGCTACCAATTACATCCGATAAACTGACTTCCTCGGGCTTTCGGTATAGGACGCGAAGCGTGGCCAGAATCGAATGGAGAAGATTCCCTTTAACCTCCCACCCCCTCACACACACACAGTGTGTGTTACGCTTTCGGCTATCATCTCCTGTAACCTATTTGGTCTTCAGAACGAGCAGCACAAATATGTGTAGCATTGTTCTTTTCTTGCGTTAGTAAATTTGTGAAGAATAAAACTGAGACTTTTCTGATCCTCAAATGCGACCCGTTACAACTTCGTTTTAAACAAGTGAATGTCCACCGAAGTATCCGTCTCATCTTGATTCCAAAGGACCACCAGATTTACGGTCAGCGCTTTGGATTATTGCTGCTTAATAAAATTTTCGCTATTTGTTTAGCAACAATAATTATCGTCTTTTTTTCAACAACCACCGCAACGCGGTGATATCTCCTACCAATTACATATTCTCCTTTAAGGGACCCTATTCTTCTTGGCCTTACAACAAACCCGAATCCCACCCTCTTAAATTCAGATTACGACTAGTATTTGTGGACTAATTGTTGCTCTGTTCGTCTATTTGAATCCTCAATGAGGCTGATTATCCAAATGTTACCTTTTTCATTCCTTGGTCCATTTCCAGATACCCATTCTTATCGATCCATATCGAACGTGCATGCCAAACGTGGTAAGTGGTTTGTAGTCTGCATTGAGTGACCATCACCCGTCCCGTTCGATCAGTCTTATTCAGGACACCTCGCCATTCCTTTCTTTGTTTACATGTTCATTTTGTCCGGAGCTTGCGTTCGTCGCTCTCAGTGGATTAAAAAAGACGCTCCGCTGGATCATCATTAAAGAGCATTTACCAATAAATATTTCAGTTCCTTTTGGACTGGAACTGTAAATTTCGAATCCACAAAACGCAATTACTTGCTTCTGTTTTCACGTAAATTTTGCCCTCCCTGAGGAGTGGCTAACTTCATAGATGAAAGTTAGGAGTATATTACTAAATATCTTTCTTCTAGGACGCATCTATTGTGAATTGCTGCTATCTGTGTGCTAAGGAGTTGACAGTGTTAGGCTGATTTGCATACGGTACGTTGCTTTCTGTGGGTAATTATTCTGGTTGCAGAGCGATAGCACGTCGACAACCACCCACTATGTCCTCGGACGTCGTCCACGATTGTTTATTCATTGAAGCGGTGATCACCTTTTCATGGAGAACCATCTAGGCGACAGTTCTCCAATACGTCTGATATCCTGCAGCACTATCCTCCGCAGTCTTGTAGCAATCTACGGCCAGTTGAACATCGTGTGTTCCGATCTCATGCTTTTTGGTCCATCTTTGAATCAGAATTCCCTGTCCCATTCACCGTTGATCCGGATCTTGAGAAATTTACTTCGCACTATAACATCGCAGTCTTTTTATATTCGATGTGACCCTTCTTCAATGACTATTCGTTCTGTTGCAGTCAGTATTCAACAGAATTAGAACCCAAGCGCGAAAAACCAAATATTCCAAGTCGCTAATTAATTGATTTGTCTTTAATGGCTTTTATCAGCTCGCGTCACGTTCGTTTTTGTGCACTCGTTTGACTACCGTCCCATAACTTTGTGATTATTATTTTTGAAGAGGCACAGAATCGAGATCACATCCATAGCTCAAAATTGTATAGATCCCCTTGACGGATGAAGGTTCATGCTCGCTGGTATTCTCAAAGGTCATTTCCGTCGTCACAGAGACAGCACCCACTGATAACATCAATGCACATTTCTGATTAGAAATCCACTTTGAAGATCCTGAATAAATCTCCGGCTCGTCTTTTCAAAGTCATACTGTGATTATTGAAACACCGGATTAACTGTTTACCAAGTGTAGTAATTTCACCAGTATTTCTTAGATTTCAGTTGCATCTTTTGATTCTAGTGATGAACGCGGTTCGTTATTGTCCTACCTTAAACTCCGTTCATCTGGCGCCAATTGTTTGTCAAATAGTGGTCATGTTGACTAGGAGCAGTGTGGGAAAACCGCAATCCATTGGGAGCCGGTGGTCAGTTCAGCGGATCATTCGCCCTTCGGACGGGGTCAAACGTCCAAGGCGTCCAATAAACCTCAATGCCCAATCGAGTCGGTGACCACTGTCACAACCGAAAAGGTGTGGGTATGGTTTGTGCGCCTCCTCTTGATTGGTTTGGAATCAGAGTTTTGGTCAACTTCCCTGAGGTAACTGCCAGTGGTTCACCAACCCGGATGTCGGCCTTTCGTCGTCTCACTTTGTTGGAAAATCACCTCAACCAGGAGAAGGCAGTGAGTAAAGCTTCCTCATCAGAGGCTGTTTGAAATGCCTGATCTTATAGGTGCATTTCGTTAGGCGCAAAGAAAGGGTGACCAGTGGCAACCCAAGACACCCACCCTTGACCATGGTGAGGCTTTCCGAGGCTTATGCGCTAACCATGTGGTGCAGTTTGCCGAACACATTAACATCAACGCATGCCATTGGATCTTTCGTCTCGTCTGTTACAACAAAGCGTGTTATTCTTTTTACGCTCGGCTATCTGAATCCAGTTTTGAGGACCTCGTCGCACTTTGATAGAACGTCATTGTCCCGGTCTCGTAATATCCTCCTCCGCTTGGAAGATTGTCTGTTCCTTGTTGGCTCACCTCCAGAGTCGCATTCTATGTGATCATTTTGTGACATTGACAACCATGCACTTGTTACCTGTGGAAACCAGATGGTTGATTCATATATCCCCCCCCCCAAGCTGGTTTGGATTTGAGTTCTCCTGGTTCAACTACCCTCAACTTGAGATATCTGTGACGCCGTCCCGTCATTTTACTGTCTGAACGGTTCAGTGTATGCTGCAGCAGCTTGGTCAGTGCTACTTTACGGTTCAAAGACTTGGCCATTACGAGAACAGAATAAAGATAGACTGTCGGTATTCCACCACAGATACAGTGCATGCACGAATCTGATGGTGAAACCGGACAAGTTATGCTGAGGTTAGGCGTACAGTTTTGGGTAATCGCACTTGCCTACTCGGGTTAGCGGTCAACCTCCATAGATTACGCTGGTTCCGACATGTATTGCGCATGTCACTAAATAGGTTGACATGGTGCGTGCTTCTGGTCGAAGAAGATAGTAGGTGGACAAAATAAAGGGGTGGTCAAACTCAGACCTGGAATGACAGTATGAAAACATTAGCCAGGAAACTCGTACTTGTGAGATGAGCATAGCTCCCTGGCTTGGAACCCCAATATCATGGTAACCGGTGATTAGGGACACTGAGTAATACAGTTGAGTGTCGGAAACAGTGGCGCTCGTGCATCTACTCATTATTCTTGCGAATGCAGTCTGTATGGATTCTCTATCTTCTCCTAGAATTTGCTCCAATCTTCATTCTGCTCTTTTATCCAAATGGGTAGTCATGAAAGAGCAACCAAAACCGGCACACGAAGATGTGTGGCTAGTGGTTGTAGAAACTGACTGGAACTACATACATTGTTTTATGCATATTGAGCATTGCCTCGGGTGCACAACACCGACAGGCAATCTTAGAACACAATAAATCAGTCATATACCACTCAAATGGGACATTTTTTCGAATACATGTTTATCCACGCAACCAACCTGCCCGGTTTATGACTAGGGGCTAATTCACAATCAAGCAGCGCCTCACCTTGTGCGATTACATAATACTTAACCACTGAATTTGTTATCTTACGGTAACCACATCCTGATCATTTGTCCCTTCGTCTTGATGGCGTTGCGGCCTGTTGTCAGATGCTTCATTCAGTATGCTGTTTTTACCTCCGCGCATCCGATAATCGCCTGTATCTCACCCGATTTTCATGTCACTGTAGAGGCGCATAAACAGTGCAAACGGTCCAACACTCGTGCCAAAACGTCAAATTACTTCCATTGTATCGATTGTCACTGCATTTGCAGATTCCCAGTCGTGTTAATGTGAATTATCCTCATTCACTGTCCCTGAACGAAAGCTATTGTTATTCGCTTCTACCATTAGTCTGCTTGTATTCTACTTTTTCCCTCGAAGCCAAGCGTGAAGGCTGATATTTTTTATAGCAACAACTAGTTTGTTGCTGTCGCTGCATGCTTTTCCGTGCAATAATCCACCACGTTTGATTCGTATATCCTTTCGTCTGTACTTTTCTCTGGGATCTGACACTGTGCGAAGCTTCTCGGGAGAACAGCTTTTCTTTTTTTCCCAATCCAACTCCCTCTCTGAACGTGTATGGTAGATCTCTCTCTCTCTCTCTCTCTCTCTCTCTCTCTCTCTCTCTCTCTCTCTNGTGACTGATCGAGCAACAGGCTGAATTCCTTAACTTAGCGAACTGCCTTGTTTGTACTCTTTTGGAGGGTGTGGGCAGAAGGATCGGCTGTCTGCCTATTTTCTTGGCCCAATCCTCTCGATTCAAAGGAGGGAGAGGGAAATAGAAATACGAGATCGACGCAAGCGAATCACATTTCTTCTAGTTCACTACCAGAACAAAACTGGATTCTAGTGAT